ACCACAACCACAGTCACCACCACCACAGTCACCACCACCACCACAGCCACCACCACCACAGCCACCACCACAGCAACCATCACCACAGCCAGCACCACCACAGCCAGCACCACCGCAGTCACCACCACCACAGTCACCACCACCACAGCCACCACCACCACCACAGCCACCACCACCACAGCCAGCACCACCACAGCCACCACTACCACAGCCACCACCACCACAGCCACCACCACCACAGCCACCACCACCACCACAGCCACCACCATCACAGCTACCATCACAGTTACCATCACCACAGCCACCACCACCACAGCCACCACTACCACAGCCACCCCCACCACAGCCACCACTACCACAGCCACCACCACCACAGCCACCACCACCACAGCCACCACCACCACCACCACCACCACAGCCACCACCACCACAGCCATCACCACCACAGCCAGTACCCCCAGTCAGCACCACCACAGCCACCACCACCACAGTCAGCACCACCACAGCCACCACCACCACCACCACCACAGCCACCACCACCACAGCCACCACCACCACAGCCACCACCATCACAGCCACCATCACCACTACCACCACCACCACAGCCACCCCCACCACAGCCACCCCCACCACAGCCACCATCACCACAGCCACCACCTCCACAGTCAGCACCACCACAGCCACCACCACCACAACCAGCACCACCACAGCCACCACCACCACAGCCACCACCACCACCACCACAGCCAACACCACCACTACTACCACCAGCACAGCCACCACCACCACAGCCATCACCACCACAGCCAGTACCCCCAGTCAGCACCACCACAGCCACCACCACCACAGTCAGCACCACCACAGCCACCACCACCACAGTCACCACAGCCACCACCACCACAGCCAGCACCACCACAGTCAGCACCACCACAGCCACCACCACCACAGCCACCACCACCACCGCAGCCACCACCACCACCACAGCCACCACCACCACCACCACAGCCACCACCACCACAGCCACCACCACCATAGCCACCACCACACACGTCTGAAACACATCAGCAACACCACTCAAGCGACACATGGTTGTAAAACTACCTTCAGGAGATAGATATATGGAACACAGCCTTTCAGGAGCCAAACAGCCATAACTCAGACACAACACATCGTTAGCAGCCGACAGAAGGCTTTTTCTTGCGTGTAAACAATATTGAGCAAATAATGGGTCAGATTCATGAAGCAGTTACGCAAGTACTTACGAACCTGGGGTCAGATTCACTAAGCAGTTACGCAAGTACTTGCGAACCTGGAGCCAGATTCACTAAGCAGTTACGCAAGTACTTACGAACCTGGGGCTAGATTCATGAAGCAGTTACGCAAGTACTTACGAACCTGGGGCTAGACTCATGAAGCAGTTACGTAAGTACTAACGAACCTGGGGCCAGATTCACTAAGCAGTTACGCAAGTACTTACGAACCTGGGACCAGATTCACGAAGCAGTTACGCAGGTACTTACGAACCTGGAGCCACATTCACGAAGCAGTTACGCAAGTACTTACGAATGTTTACATCTTTCCACAATCTTTGACGGCTTTGGTTACATTTATTGAACAGTTTACAAGCATGAAAACTTGCCAATCAACTGTTGTTATTGTTATAAACAGCCTCCTGGTGCTTCGGAGGTCATTAACTGTTTAATAATTGTAAACAAAGCCACCAAAGATTGATAAAAGATGTACAGGTTCGTAAGTGCTTGCGTAACTCCTTCTTGAATCTGGCCCCGGGTTCGTAAGTGCTTGCGTAACTGCTTCGTGAATCTGGCCCCAGGTTCGTAAGTGTTTGCGTAACTGCTTCTTGAATTGGCCTCAGGTTCGTAAGTGCCGTGAATCTGGCCCCAGGTTCGTAAGTGCTTGCGTAACTGCTTCGTAGATCTGGCCCCATGATGTCTTTCTCTGACTATTATGCCCTATAAATTATGACTTTTGTCATAATTTGTAGGGCATAAAACCCTAAATTATGACTTTTTAAAGAAGATAAGTTCGAGCTCCTGTGCTATGGGGGGAAAAGCGAAAATATCATAACGGAAACAATATATAAAAAGCGGTCAGACCACACTATTGAAAGAGTCATTGCTGTAAACAACCGATGGCTAGAGAGGCGGGATCCAAGAGTCAATGCTCGATCCTGCAGGCACAAATAGGTGAGTACAAATAGGTACTATTGAAAGAAAAAGTAATATATAAGATGTAGTTGTAACCCTGTCTGAAGATCTTTCATTCAGAGAGCCCAATACAGTAGCCGTCACAACTGCAAGAAAAATGACAGATTGGATAACAAGAACCTTCCAAAGAGTAGATATCAGATCACTAATGGCCCCTTTGTAAGTCACTAGTGCCTTCTAGGGTGGAATACTGTTCTGCACTAACAGCCCCATACTAACCTAGACAGCGTGCAAAGATCATTTACTGCTAGAATCCACGCAATAAAACATGTAAACTATTAAGACCTATTCAAATTGTAAATCTGTATTCTGTAGATCCCAGGCGGGAGAGATACGTAATAATTTACATTTGGAAAATATTGGAAGAACTGGTCCCAAACCTGCACACAGAAATAACACTACATGAGGCCAGGAGGCATGGCAGGATGTGCAGAATACGGTGAAGAGCAGCGGTGCACCCAACCCGTCCTCCTGTGTAGACAGTACCTATTGTGGTGATCGTCAATAGACACGAATTCGTACCTCCTTAGCTTTTAGACAGTAGACCAGACCACACACTAGAAAGTGAAGGGACGACTATGTTTCGGTCCGTCCCTGACCATTCTCAAGTCGATTGTGGACTATTCTCACAATCGACTTGAGAATGGTCCAGGACGGACCGAAATGTCGTCGTCCCTTCACTTTCTAGTGTGTGGTCTGGTCAACATATTTCAGCCCCGTTATTGTGACTCCTCGTCTGCTTTTAGACAGTAGTATACTGTTTAGGAAAGAATTATTTTAAAATAAATGAAGCTAAAAAACAAACTTAAATATTCCTAAGCCTCGTAGAGCACACATGTATTACATTAGGCCTCAGATACCGTAAGCTAGTGAAAAACAGTTTTCCAGCTTGTCCAAATCAACAGTTCAGATTTCTACTTTCTAAATTCGTTGTACGCCGGTATATGTACTATGGTCGTCATCGGTACTATAAGTACTACCAAAACAGGAGGATGAGTTGAATAGGTACGCTGAGAGAGAACTTACATTAGAGGCCCAACACTGTTCAACTCTCTCTTGCTATACATAAGGGGCATAACTGGCCGACCCTTCACAGTGTTCTAAAAGCTAACTTGATAAACACTGTTATCTTGAGGTTACCTTGAGATGATTTCGGGGCTTAGCGTCCCCGCGGCCCGGTCCTCGACCAGGCCTCCTTTTTGTTACACATCCCCAGGAAGCAGCCCGTAGCTGCTGTCTAACTCCCAGGTAACTAGTTACTGCTAGATGAACATGCGCATCAGGGTGAAAGAAACTCTGTCCATTTGTTTCCGCCTCCACCGGGAATCGAACCCGGAACCTCAGGACTACGAACCCGAACCGTTGTCTACTCAGCTGTCAGGCCCCTAAAAAAAAACAGGTATCCTATCAAATGAGTCTGTTGAGTCGAACAACCTGGTTGACCAGACCACTAACCATAAGGCCTGGTGGGAAACGAACAGGGCCGTGAGGGCGTGGATCCACGGAACCTCAACAGGTAAAAAAGTAACGACACGAAGGACAAATTTGAAAGCAACTGCACATAAGAAAAACACAAAAGACATTACATTAAATCACCCAATTGTTGTCTGAAGGATAAAAAAGGCGAAGACTGGAAAGAGGTTAAAAAGTTTACGGGGCCAAAGTCACTATACTGGCCGCGCCGCGCTTCACATTTACGTAAATGACTGTGTAAATTGTGCTACGTAAATGACTGTGACTGTGTAAACCGCGTGTGTAAACTCTGCGACTGTTGTAGAATATTTTGTGAAAAGGCAGAAATTCAGAACAACTGCAAACTCCGTCAAGAACATTTGGAAAAACTTTATAAATTGGGCAGAATTCTAATTCAATAAACAGAAACCATTTGTTGTGCCAGAACATGATTTTGTATTTATTAGTAAGAATTAGTCGATTCTTTTGACCATGTCGTAGCTCAGTCGATTAAGGCACATGCTACGGATGCTCTGGGATGCTCTCGGACGCAGGTTCGAATCCTCGTCACAGCCCTTGTGGATATGTTTATTAGTAAGGGTATTATTGTGCGGGCCTTAAGCCTCTGGCTGGCCCGTAAGGAGCTACTCATCTCAAGTCTAATCTGGTGGTGGTTTAGTGTTTATGACTCGTATGTTTATGTTGGTTTGAATGACGTGATGAACAATGTGTTTATCAACTTCTTCTGTGCTGTTCAACCTCAGAGGAATCTTATTGGGTGTGGAACTCTGCACTGTGTTTCTAACACAGTGCACGGTTACAGACACAACAGTCCACTAGAACATTATCTAATACAATGTAGAGTTACAGAAGAAACAGTCCACTGGACCATTATGTAACACACTGCAGAGTTACAGACTAAACAGTCTACTGGAACATTGGCTAAATGTTCCAGTGGTCTGATTGGTCTGTAACTTGCCAGGATTACAGATCGTTACAGTCCCTCCTGAATTTATTGAATTAGTTTATTGAATTAGAATTCTGTACGTCAGGCTGCGAGCAGCCGCGTCCAACAGCCTGGTTGATCAGTCCGGCAACCAGGAGGCCTGGTCGACGACCGGGCCGCGGGGACGCTAAGCCCCTGAAGCACCTCAAGGTAACCTCAAGGTAAGGTAACCTGTCAACTGCCAATCAACTGGCGTAGAGAATCACCTACACCAGTAGCTTGAGAGTTGAGAGTGGGGACCAAGGAGCCAAAGCTCAACCCCCCACAAACACAACTAGACGAGTACCACCAGGTGAACACACACACACACAACTAACCTTGAAATTATCTCCGTGCTTAGATGAGAGCATATGGGCGACCTCCCTCAGGTGGAGGGTGTAGGTGGCGTCGTCGAGGGAGGGAGGGAAGGCCAGGGAGATGATTCTCTCCGTCACATAGACCACGTCCATCTTGGGTCCTCCTCCTCCTCCTGCAGGAGGTCCGGCCTGGCCCCCTCCTGCCCCGCCCTCGCCCGCCATCACCCGGGTCAAGCGAGCAGCTGATTGTGTCTGAAACAAAATAGAAAAACGTCAATTATCGTCTACTTGTGGACTGCTTGTTGGGCGAGATAATTAGAAGTCTTAAGGTTATATATGTATGGCTCATGTATATCTTATGTATGTCTGTATTCCTCGTGAATTAGTATATCTACCATGTGTCTGTCTCCCGGGTGTATGTCCCTGTGTTTACCTGGATTGTTCTGGGAGTACTTCTACTCCCCAAGCCCGGCCCGAGGCCAGGCTTGACTTGTGAGAGTTTGGCCCACCAGGCTGTTGCTTGGAGCGGCCCGCAGGCCCACATACCCACCACAGCCCGGTTGGTCCGGCACTCCTTGGAGGAAACTATCTAGTTTCTTCTTGAAGATGTCCACGGTTGTTCCGGCAATATTTCTTATGCTCGCTGGGAGGGTGTTGAACAACCGTGGACCTCTGATGGTTATACAGTGTTCTCTGATTGTGCCTATGGCACCTCTGCTCTTCACTGGTTCTATTCTGCATTTTCTTCCAAGTCGTTCACTCCAGTACGTTATTATTTTACTGTGTAGATTTGGTACTTGGCCCTCCAGTATCTTCCACGTGTATATTATTTACTATCTCTCTCTCGTCTCCTTTCCAGAGTATACATTTGGAGAACTTTGAGACGATCCCAATAGTTTAGGTGCTTTATTGCATCTATGTATGCCGTATATGTTCTCTGTATTCCCTCTATTTCAGCAATCTCTCCTGCTCTGAAGGGAGAAGTGAGTACTGAGCAGTACTCAAGACGGGACAACACAAGTGACTTGAAGAGTACAACCATTGTGATGGGATCCCTGGATTTGAAAGTTCTCGTAATCCATCCGATCTCTTTCTGGCTGACGCGATATTTGCTTGGTTATGCTCCCTGAACATTAGGTCGTCGGACATCAATATTCCCAAATCCTTGACATGCTGTTTTCCTACTATGGACAGATTTGATTGCGTTTTGTATCCTGTATTATGTTTAAGGTCCTCATTTTTACCATACCTGAGTACCTGTAATCTGTCACTGTTAAACATCATGTTATTGTCTGCTGCCCAGTCGAAAACTTTATTAATATCTGCTTGTAGGTTTTCAATGTCTTCAGTAAAGATAATTTTCATGCTGATTTTTGTGTCATCTGCAAAGGATGACACGAAGCTGTGACTTGTATTTGAGTCTATATCAAATATGAGATTAAGGAAAAGCAGTGGTGCAAGGACTGTACCTTGAGGTGCAGTGGTGCAAGGACTGTACCTTGAGGTGCAGTGGTGCAAGGACTGTACCTTGAGGTGCAGTGGTGCAAGGACTGTACCTTGAGGTGCAGTGGTGCAAGGACTGTACCTTGAGGTGCAGTGGTGCAAGGACTGTACCTTGAGGTACAAAGCTTTTAACTGCGCTTGGGCTCAATTTTTTTTATCTTTCATCTATCTATAGCCATGTATATGTATGTCCTCCGTGTCTGTATGCCCCTGTGTATACATGCCCTCCGTGTCTGTATGCCCCCTGTGTATACATATCCACGGCATATATACAATAATTCCCATTGCTAGGGGGTCAGGAAGCCTATGCCCAATCGTATCGGCCCCCCCCCCTACGCCAACTACTGATCTCCACCAGGATGCCACCCACAACAGTGGCCTAGCTCCCAAGTACCTATTTACTGGCAAGTGAACAGATGCATCAGGTGAAAGGAAACGTGCCCAATCGTTCCCTTCTACCACGGAAATCGAACATGTATGTTCCAAAGTCTGTAAACGGAGTAGAGTATTTCCCGGGATTTATCACGAGAAACCATTAACAAATCCCCCTTATAAATCCCAAGGATACGGATGTGGAGAGTAGCTCCTGGAACCAAATCATAATAAATCCAGAAAAAAATGATTAGGATTTCTCGAGAGAATAAATCCAGGAAAATACGCCACCTTAAAATAAAAACTACAATTAATCCTCACGTATAAATTACGAACTGAACTATCAGGGGGAAAGCGCCAAGCCATTACGACTATATAGCACTTGGAAGGGGTCAAGATAAGGATTTGGGATGGGACGGTGGGAAAGGAATGGTGTCCAACCACTTGGTGGACGGTCGGGGGATTGAACGCCGACCTGCAGGAAGCCAGACCTGGAATGACCAGGGGGAATAAATCCCGGCACTTGGGCGAGGCAGAAAATACATTCTGGAATCTGAATTAAGAACAAAACATTGGTCTGAAGTAGGAGGAAATAAATTACAGAGACCCAGTGGGCTGGGAGGATGGGAGGAATAGATTCAAAGGAGAGGGGGGGTGAGGGATAGATGGACGGTGGGGGGGAGGGAGGGAGGGGGAGAGAGAGAGAGAGAGAGAGAGAGAGAGAGAGAGAGAGAGAGAGAGAGAGAGAGAGAGAGAGAGAGAGAGAGAGAGAGAGAGAGAGAGTGTGTGTGTAGTCACCTATTTATGGCTGCAGGATCGAGCTCTAGCTTTTGGACCCAGCTTTTCTAGCTGTTGGTTATCTAATGCTATGACTCCTGGCCTGGTGTGTGTAGTTACCTAAGTGGAGTTACAGGTTGAGGGCTACGCTCGTGGTGTCCCGTCTTCCCAGTACTCTTTGTCATATAACCATATAGCACACACACATACACACGTGTATGTGTGTGTGTGTGTGTGTGTGTGTGTGTGTGTGTGTGTGTGTGTGTGTGTGTGTGTGTGTGTGTGTGTGTGTGTGTGTGTGAATGTATTCAGCTAGTAGTGCTTGCGGGGGTTGAGTGTGTGTCAAGAGCCAGCTGTGTGATACTAAGGTACCCCTGTTCACCTAGCAGTAAATAGGTACCTGGGAGTTAGACAGCTGCTACGAGCTGCTTCCTGGGGATGTGTAACAAAAAGGAGGCCTGGTCGAGGACCGGGCCGCGGGGACGCTAAGCCCCGAAATCATCTCAAGATAACCTCAAGATAACCACTGTGTGTTTGCCTGAAGTGGGGCCTCGCAAAGTTTAATGTTCAACCCGTGACATTCAATGTTCAACCCGTGATATTCAATGTTCAACCCGTGATATTCAATGTTCAACCCGTGACATTCAATGTTCAACCCGTGATATTCAATGTTCAACCCGTGACATTCAATGTTCAACCCGTGATATTCAATGTTCATCCCGTAATATTCAATGTTCAACCCGTGACATTCAATGTTCAACCCGTGATATTCAATGTTCAACCCGTGATATTCAATGTTCAACCCGCGACATTCAATGTTCAACCCGTGATATTCAATGTTCAACCCGTGATATTCAATGTTCAACCAATGGTATTCAATGTTCAACCCGTGATATTCAATATTCAACCCGTGTTATTCAATGTTCAAGCCATGATATTCAATGTTCAACCCGTGTTATTCAATGTTCAACCCGTGTTATTCAATGTTCAATTCATGATATTCAATGTTCAACCCGTGATATTCAATGTTCAACCCGTGTTATTCAATGTTCAACCCATGATATTCAATGTTCAACCCGTAATATTCAATGTTCAACCAATGGTATTCAATGTTCAACCCATGATATTCCCTGAAAAAATTACTGACATACCTGTTGAACTAGACTCTTCTTGTTCAACTAAACCTAATGATACACTAAGATATGAGAAACATGAGGAGACATAACTCCAGACTTTCAAAAAAAACTGATTGGCATTGTTCAAAAGTGATTGGCATTGTTCAAAAGTGATTGGCATTGTTCAAAACTGATTGGCATTGTTCAAAAGTGATTGGCATTGTTCAAAACTGATTGGCATTGTTCAAACTGATTGGCATTGTTCAAAACTGATTGGCATTGTTCAAAACTGATTGGCATTGTTCAAAAGTGACTGGAATTGTTCAAAAAGCTAACATGTAAGGTTGGAACAGTAGTGTGTGGACTGCCACGCATAAACACGGATGAGGAAGTTCCGTGTCTCTAGAACACAGGGAAGCAGCAGTTCCGTGTCTCTAGAACACAGGAAAGCAGTAGCTCCGTGTCTCTAGAACACAGGAAAGCAGCAGTTCCGTGCCTTTAGAACACAGGGAAGCAGCAGCTCCGTGTCTCTAGAACACAGGGATGAAGCAGTTCCGTGCCTCTAGAACACAGGGAAGCAGCAGCTCCGTGTCTCTAGAACACAGGGAAGCAGCAGCTCCGTGCCTCTAGAACACAGGGAAGCAGCAGCTCCGTGCCTCTAGAACACAGGGAAGCAGCAGCTCCGTGCCTCTAGAACACAGGGAAGCAGCAGCTCCGTGTCTCTAGAACACAGGGAAGCAGCAGCTCCGTGCCTCTAGAACACAGGGAAGCAGCAGCTCCGTGTCTCTAGAACACAGGGAAGCAGCAGCTCCGTGTCTCTAGAACACAGGGAAGCAGCAGCTCCGTGCCTCTAGAACACAGGGAAGCAGCAGCTCCGTGCCTCTAGAACACAGGGAAACAGCAGCTCCGTGCCTCTAGAACACAGGGAAGCAGCAGCTCCGTGCCTCTAGAACACAGGGAAGCAGCAGCTCCGTGCCTCTAGAACACAGGGAACAGGAAGCAAGCAAGAGGAACGAACAGAGACGGAAAAAAACACAGTAGCGACGGCCCTCCATCCATTGTTTTAAAGCAGATATGACCACACACCAATGGCTTCCGTCTCATGTCGTTACGCACACAGGAACTGAGGCTCGCTCCTATGTACTACACTACATAGGAACACACACACGCACACACGCACGCGCGCGGACAAGCATACGAAGAACAGGAGGATGTTCAGGACGGCCCCGGAGTGTGTCTGGGGCCTCCAACAACAAGGAAAAGGGAATGTCGTCGGCTGTACACCTCTCCGGAGCCGCTAGCCCACAGTCCGGAATTCTTTATGGAAGGGCTAAATTTAGCCGGAACCACTCCTCGGGCGGGTCCATGGCGTGGGAGAGGGTGGGAGAGGAGGGGAGAGGAGGGGAAGGGGAGTAATGAGAGATGGAAACGAAGCATGGGGGAAAGAGAGCAAAGGAAAACGAGCCGAACCGAAGGACTGG